TCCTTGGGGGGAAATTCTAATTGATTCACAAATAAGCAAACAGACAATGTACAATGCAATCGTTTAGTGCAATGTAAAAAAAAATGTAGAGAACAAGGAAGTTCCCTTGAGGGAAGGCTTCACATAAGAGGTAATTTTTTTTTTTAGTTAAAATCTGAAAGATAAATAGGTTAGCAGACAATGATAAGGTAGGACAGAGAGAAGGAGGGGACCAGGAATTAGAAGGGAAATCGGCAAGGATGCCTGATGGATTTTGAAGAGTAACTATAAGCCAAAGAGAATATTAAAATGTTTGTGAAGCTAGGTGGTGGTGTTGCAGGCCTTTAATCCAGCACTTGGGAGATCTCTGTGAGTTCGAGGCCAGCCTGGTCTACAGAGCGAGTTCCAGGACAGCCAGTACTACCCGGAGTAACCCTGTCTCGAAAAAGCAAAAAACAAAACAAAAACCTCACAATGTTTGAGATGGGTGTGTTCATTTAGGTAGAGAAATGGATCATGTCAAGGAGACGGGATTTTTGACTCCTGGAAGCCATAGAAAATTCTTAATTTTTTTTCTTAAGAAAAATCAAGGGCCAGGGATGTAGCTTAGTGGTGAAAGAGTTAACTAGTATTTGCAGGGCTCTGTGTTCGAGTCCCACAAGAGGAAAGAAAGGGAGAGTGGGAGCGAGGAAGCAAGGAAAAACATCGACTCAGGAAAAGAATTACAAATATTTGAAAGACTGACAATAAAACTTCCTTATATACTCATGCTGTGCCTAGAAAAGTCAAGCTGATGACGTGAAAGGCTATTAAACCTAAGCAAATGTCATAAAGTGAGGGGACTCAAGACAAACATAAAACCAATACCTTTCCAACACACTAGCTATAAGCTATGTGGAAACTGTAGTGAAAAAAGGTAGAATTCATAAAAAAAAAATCATTCAGAGCATTCCTTATTCTTGAGCAGGCAAATGCAGTTTATAAGATTGTCCACACTCTCTTAGTCTACAAGTCAGAGCTTCCAACTCAAATCCGAGCAGCCCTCTAACAGAAGTCTCTTTCTGAAATTCCTCCTAGCATTGTAGTTTTGCAGGTTCACCAAGAAATTTTTTTGTAAAGAAAAATAGCGAGAAAGAATGTATCTCAGAAATATCAAACACATTGTGTGCAAATAATAATATGCTAAAGTCGTAAAGTATAATTTTAGTGAGCACATCCATATTTGGACTTTTTCTGTCACGCCTGCCAGCTCCCAAATAACCACACAGAGACTTATTAATTATGAAAGCTTGCCTGATAGCTTAGGCTTGTTTCTAACTCACTCCCATAACTGAAATTAACCCATTTCTATTCATTTATGTGCTGCCACGTGGCTTTATTACCTTTACTCTGTACTGTCCATGCTGCTTCCCCTGAGTCCTGCCATCTCCTTGAGACTCTGCCCTTCTTCTTTCCACTGTTCCCTCTGCCCTGAAAATCCTGCCTAGCTATTGGCCATTCAGCTTTTTATTAAACCAATTGGAGTGACATATATTCAGTGTACAAAAAGATTATTCCACAACACATGCCAGTTGATCACATTTATAGGACTTAAATCAGCTGTGCTAACTCAGCGTTACAAGAAACAAATGATGCGCGTGATTACAAGTTCAGGAGTCAAAAGGACACTATAAATGGCATCAATTAAGATGTAGGAACTATTGTAGGGACAAACTGTTGCTATTTGGATTCTAAAGATACCGGTACAGAGTTTGGACGCAGAGTGCTCAGAAAAGGAGTGGAACAAGGTAGGGCAGAAAGAAGCTAACCCATCCTGTGGAGGCCTCACAGCCTTTCCCCAGGAAGAGTTCTAAGGTGTGTATGAGCCATGAGAAGGCATTAGACTTGATAACCATTCTCAAGATGCAAATTAACCTCACCCCAAAGACTGCCAAAGTTAAAAAGCTGAGAGTGGGCGAGACAGTGGAACAATAAGAGCTTACATATTCTGCTTGGAGACCATGAGCAGGTTAACTGCAGGATCTACTGGACATGGGAACCAGAAATTCCATTTCTCAGTCTACACTCAGCCGAAATCCTTATGAATTGGCCAAGAGATACGCACAAGAAGGCCCAAAACAGCATTATCTGTGTAACATTTCCCAAACATAAATCAACAGCAGAATAGACAATTATGCTGAAGTATACTCACGTGGTGAAATATTGTCATGTGTGGGCTGTGTCAGAAGCTGTGTCTTTCTGGCATCTATAATGAGAAATCCACGGAGTCTGTTTAAAGGGCAAGGAATTTATTAGGGGATAAAAACTCAATACAGAATGAGAGATTTATGGTAGGGTCCTGGAAAGCTGAACTATGGTCCACGCTGATCTTCTGCCTGGTCCGTCTCAGCATCCAAAACCATGAGAAAGAGGGGGCGGGGGAGAGGGAGAGGGAGAGGGAGAGAAGTCTACATGTATCCCAAGTTTTAAGGGTCCACAAGGCCACGCCCAGGGGCATGCACTTCAAAGTCATAGGCGGGTGGAGCAGTTACCTGCTGCATCTCTGGGCCGATGCTTCAAGGCCATAGAACAGCTACCCACTACAAGTATACAAATGTGTTGAATCATAATAAATTATTGCACGGTATATTGGTTTGGTTGTCAGCAATTTGCCAAGTTGTCCTGATTTCCTTGGCCAAAGCAAACATAGGTTCTCATATTTCGACCCCAATAATGTTAATTCTCAGATCACACATTGCATAATAAAATGTTCTCTCTCTATTTCTGTCTGTCTGTCTGCCTGCCTGTCTGCCCATGTCTCTCTCTCTCTCTTGCACTCGCTCTCGCTCTGTGTGCATGGTGTGTGCGTGTGCGTGTGCGTGTGCGTGTGTGTGTGCGCGTGCGTGTGTTACAGAAGGGCTACAAAGGATTAAAGGGTCACCACAGTAGAGTTTGAGGAATTCCAAAGAGACCCGAGAGGCAGAATAGGAAGCTGAGAGAGAAGCACAAGGAGCCAGGGAGGGGGTGTCCCACAATTAACTGTTGGAGGTCTGCTACAGAGTCTGCTGCAGAGTGCAACCCCAGGGCCAGACAAACTACAGAAGCCAAGATGCAGGACCCTGGAGGCCACTGAGATGAAGAACAGGACTGGATCTAGGTGAGTGAATGGCTAACATGTCCGGATGGACAAGCAGATGGATGGCCATTTGAGAAGGCTGCATCAGCAGTGGGGGCTGAGCTGAACTTGAGACAGTTGAGAGTTCTCTGCCTATTGATCCCTTGACATACCAGGTGGTCACATGACAGGTTGTGGCAGGGGTGTGTATGTGGGGGAAGGGGGATCACAAGTGCAGTGTGAAGTGTCCTTCTCTTTAAGGGGCTCAGTTGAAGCCCCCTTTCTCTGTCTCATGTGTGTGATAAGTTTCCTTATATGATAAAATAATTCAGATTTATTTATTTTATATCTTTGTGTATTTTGCCTGAATGTGTGTGTACCATGTGTGTGCAGTGCTCACAGAGTCCAGAAGAGGGAGTCAGATTCTCAGTAACTGGAGTTTCAGATGGCTGTGACTGTCCATGTGGCTTTGAGGAACTGAACCCAGGTTTTCTAGAAGAGCAATCAGTGCTTTTAGCTACTGAGCTATCTCTCCCGCCCCTTAGGTGATTTTAATATACGATGTGTTCATATGATCCCAATCTACTTTGGTAAATTTACAGGATAACATTCTTTTGACTTTTGGGTTGTAGGCCTAGCCTTTAATGCCTGAGCCACCTCTCCAGTCCAACCCTTTTTACTTTTAAGAATAAGTCGTTTATCACTCTGTAGTGGACAGATGGTATCGTCTATGTGCCCACTCTGGTGCACAGTCATCCTGCTTCTCTGCTGGCATTCAAAATGGAGGCCAGTGCTTCACCTGCCAGGACACAGTCCATTCTGAAAACCACTCTTTCCCACATTATGAAGTAACCTAGAGCAGGGTACAGTCTGACCTCGACCAATATTACAGCAATGAATGTAGCAACGTGGATGAATCACAAGACACAAAGAACATGTCATCCAACTTGACCTTTATGAAATTCAGAAGTAGACAAGCCATTCGCAGAGGACAACAGGAAAACAGCAGCCTCTTTGGAGTGGTCCTGGCAGGGGGAAGCTCCTCCGTTCATAATGCTAATTTTTTAAAGTGGAGAATGCTCACACAGATGTGCCCCGGTAAACAACCCCAGAGCCTGCTCTGGTTTGCACTCTTTCCTGTGTGTATGCTTGTGTTTCTCCTTAAGAAGTTGCCCTCAAATGTAATGAGCTAAGCCATGAGATGTTACGTCACCCTTCTGTGGTCAGGAATCCAGATGTGGGTTACTTAGCAGTTCCAGCTCAGCTCCAGCTCAGCATCTTTCATTGCCCCCGAAAGGCTTCTCTGGTTCTGCTCGAATCTCCTTTTAACTCTTTATAATCTCAGAACGACATCCCGTCGCTCAAGGAGAGAGGGTTAACACAGGGCATGACCCCAAGGGGAAACACTGCTCTGGAGTCGAGGAGACACTATATGACACAAGAAGCCTACAATTTCTTTGTATTCTTTAGGCCAGCTGCCTGACTTCCTTGGCCTTGGTCTGGAAGCAGAGCATGATGGGAAGGGGAAGAAGAGGATTAAAATCCTTCAGTCACAGAAACTGAAAGTGCACAGTGGCAAGCATGCTTGGCAATAGTAGAATCTGAGTTCCTCTGTAAACCTGGTATGGAACTTGGGGCTCACGACATGTGCCTTGGTAAATTTCCTTATATGCTAAAAGCAAACAAACAAAATGTTTTTGCTTGTTTGTTTGTTTGTTTTTATCATACATCGGCCATACATCTTCAGTTAGTCAATTAAGGACCAAACTACCATACATCTTCAGTTAGTCAATTAAGGACCAAACCAAGCTGGGCAGTGGTGGCACACACCTTTAATCCCAGCACTTGGGAGGCAGAGACAGGTGGATCTCTGGAAGTTTGAGGCCATACTGGTCTACAGAGTGAGATCCAGGACAGCCAGGGCTACAGAGAAACTCTGTCTCAAAACCCACACCCCCCACAAAAAAATTAGTGGAAAGCAGAAAAAGGAGATTTATTCCAAGCGACCCAGGAACTCCCCCAAGTCCGTCTTCAGGATCCTGCAGTGAGATGAAATTTAAATAGAGGACTAAGGATGTGCCCATCTAAGCAGCCCTGGTCAAGATGTGGCCCTGCCCACGATAGTCCCATCCTTATCTGGGCTTTATCTCACCCTGTAGGGTAGTCTAACAAGTTGTTAGAACCTTATGAAGCATGAGATTCTTAGGGAAATTCTTCAGGGGTCCACTGTTTCAATAATCTGACACTCAGAGTGAGAGATAAGCTTGTCTCTTTAGAATATCTTCATTTCTTCCAGGCCTGTTATAAAAACTGGTTCTAAACTGGAAGCCACTGGCCTCAGTTGGGAATGCTCTTTCTATCCCTGAGTTCCTCATTGATAGCCTTCAAGAAGGATTATTCTATTCGTGAGGAAAGTGACAGGAAAGTGGGAATTGTGTGCATTGGTGGCTTTCTAGAAGAGAAAGAAATGAAAAATGAAAGAACCGTTGGGCTGTTGAGGCATTCTGCAGCATGTTTACACCTTGCACCACGCCTCCTCTTCTAAAACTAAGGCTTGCTGAATATCTGTCCATCTGCACGTTAGAAAGAGCCACACCTCTAAACCAGATGTGCTAGTTTTGATAATCACACGTTTTCACGCCCGCAGGTGGTTAAATCTTGGAGACTGTGATTCAAGAATCCTTGCTGGGTTCTAGAACACTATGTATAACTAACCTTTGCCTTATAAATCTGATTAGGAAGTTGTCAAGGCAGGAGCAGGTTTAACTTCTTGAGCCAGGATTGTCTCGAGCTTTTCAAGCTTGCTCCGTTATCTTGCTTACTTATAATTGTGTTCCTTGCCACCTCCCCCGCAACTCCACCCTCCCCCCCATACACATATTCACTTTTCCCATCCCCAGCCATTAGTTTCCTTTAGGTTAGTCTGCGCTTTCTGCTCCATTTCCGGGTAAGTAAATGTCTCTCAAACACACTCTTGCCCAGCTTGCAGTGTGCCCAGTTCTCTTTCCTAACTGCCCCGCACATACCAGGTTGCTAAGCTTCGCTACTCCGAGATGCCCAGTCAAGGATGCACGCAGAGCAGGGTCAGTCCAACCTCCGTAAGGTTCGAAGCTCTACCACCGCGCTCCTGGGTCTGCTGGCTGTGGCCTCAGCCCTCAGTCTCTCCGCCCTCTCAGGGACATGGGGAGAGAAAGAGAAGGGTCTGGAGTGGGCGGGAGGAAGCCATGTGAAGCTGCCTTGGCACAGGACCAGTTGCGGGGAGAGAAAGCACTGGTGGGATAGAACGCCCCGCTGTGGCTACCCATTACTGGGACTATCTGTCCCTCTGCTCCTGCTATACGAATAGCTAAACTAAGTAACCACATCGCTGCCAGGGCTGGATCGAAGTGCCGCCTTTCCTAATGAGAAAGATACCAACTTAGACCATCGCTTCATGCGCTCCTATTTACCCTCTCGTCAAAACTGCAGTAATGTGGCGGATAATGGAAAAGACATCACAAAAGCGGTGGAAACTCTTCCAAAGGACTGTATGATAACCCTCAAGGGCGTCACTGGGACGGACAGCTTGCCCGGGCATTCATGGTTCGTTACAAGATGGCCATACAATTGTTAACCAGCTTAAAGGTAGAATAAAAAGTCCCCTGGAGTCTTAGCCATGACATGACTGGCATTCATTTATTTGTAATTGACTTTGCTTTGGGAACCTTGTACTGGAAGAATAATTGTCTTGCAAGGGCAAAATATACAGATTGTGATGGGTGGCTTTAACGTCCACCCCACAAATTAAAGTCACCTGAATGGGAAGGCTCAACAGAACGGTCCTGATTGCCTTAACTGACGTGGAAAACCCATTAAGTGTGGACCGCACCTTTGGTAACTATTTACCTTGTGCTGCCTTTGGTGGCTGAGTTAATCGATCTCATTGGCTGTTCCTGATTGCTTCGCTGATGTCAGAACCCATGTTTCCAGGCTTCCAGCCTTGACTGAGGACCAGCAGCTCTCCAGGAACCATCCAGGTTTTCAGTGCCAGAAAGGGACTGCTGAGAAATCCAGCCTCCTGGGCTGCTCTCCAAGTTCAGACAGCCACTGTGGGACTGCTCTGACTATTGAGACACCAGCCTCAAGGACCAAGCAACTACCCGTTCTCCACTGCTTAGATATGAGGTAACTATTATTACTATTTTAACATGAGCTCATTTGACTTTATATATTTACATATACCATATATGTATATGTGTATTCTGTTCTTCTAGGGGACCCTGACTATACACAAATTAATGAAGAGAATAAAAGGATAAGAATGTTGCAACCAAAGAGGTTTTTCAAGACACGTAACTGCCCTTTGTCAAAGTTGTTACCTTCCTGTAGGCTGGGAACAGTTCACAATGTTCCTTCCCAAATAAAGCAACTTGAAACAAATGACCTTCTATTCTGTCTCAACTGACAGACCTCTCTCTATCTGTTCTTGGGTGTTTGACTCTGAAACTGGCACTCATGTATCATCGAAAAGAAGAACTGGTCTTTGGGTGACAGAGGAGAGAACACGTGTCCAGTCCAGTTATACCATTTTCAAGGTTCCGGAATGCCTTCTGAATTTTTAAAAAAAAAATTTATTTTATGTGTGTGGGTGTTTTGCCTTGCATGTATGTTTGTATACCATGTGTTCACCTGGTGCCAGAGGAGACCAGAAGAAGGAATTGGATACCCTGGGACTGGAGTTACTAATGGTTGTGAGCTGAAAGTGCGTGCTGGGAATTGAACCAGGAGTCTATGGAAGGGCATAGACTTTTTTTTTTTAATGTATACAGTATTCAGCCTGCATGTATGCCTGCAGGCCAAAAGGGGGCACCAAATCTCATTACAGATGGTCATGAGCCACCATGTAGTTGCTGGGAATTGAACTCAGGACCTCTGGAAGAACAGCCAGTGCTCTTAACTGCTGAGCCATCTCTCCAGCTCCCGAGCATAGACTTTTAACCCCTGAGCTTGGGCATGTCTAAGTGCTAAAAACCCACACAGCTTTGTTCTTCATTTACAACCTGCAGCCTGTAGATTTCAGCCTGGCTGTTGGGGGTGGGGGCGGCTTCGGGTGGCTTTTAAAGACAAGGACTCAGTAGCATCGGCCACCATATGGAGTTGGAAGCCATGGAGAGTGTTTCTGGAGCCTGCACAGCAGCTCCGTGGTTGCTGATTAGACAGAGTATGGGCTTTAGCTCCTCCTGACATAGACCATGAACCCCATCCCTCTAGGAAAATGACCAAGGTGAGCTGGTTCCATCCATGCAGGGGAGCCAGTGCTGGGGTGTGGTGGAGCGGCACAGCACCAGGATGCTAAGGAGGACATTTGGAGCCCTAGTGAATCCGGCCTCTTTCCTGGGCTTCTCTAGAGTGTATAAATCATGTTCGCAAAATACACGGTGACACGTTTGTATTCTGCGATGACTACAGAGCTATGAAAACAGACGGGAGAAGATGATGGAAGTATGAAGGACCCTGTTCTTAATTTCCACAAATGGAAAGAGTAACATAAATTATATTATATTTCATATCTAAGGTTAGAAATCTACACTTTGTGCAAATATAGGCATTGAAGACTAAGTAACTAGGATTGTACAGCAAGTCAGCAAGGCAGGAAATGTTACAGTATAACCATTCTCTCTCTAAAGAACCATTTGTGAAAACCAGGCACTCTGTATTCATTAAGGTTTGTGAAATAAAAATAAGAGAGTTTTATGTAGCTATGTATTGTCAATTTGTTATGTAAAGTGTGTAATAGCATCTCTCTTCCTAGGCTGAAATTTGCAGGCATTCCTAACGTGAACATTGTGCTTTTCTTTCTTTCTTTCTTTTTTTTTTTTTCTTCCCTTCAAGACAAGGTTTCTCTGTGTAGCCTCAACTGACCTGGAACTCGCTCTGTAGACCAGTCTGGCCTCGAACTCAGAGATCCCCCTGCCTCTGCCTTCTGAGTGCTAGAATTAAAGGTGTGTATCACCACCCAGCTGGACATTGTGCTTTTCAACTACAATTTATAAGATGGTGTGTCAGTTTCCTTTGTCACATTTTTTTTAATAGCGAAAAGAACAATTGGCTAAAATCAAAGAGCGAGTCTTCCTCTGGCTTTATTTTGATGAAGATTCTTTTAACTACGAACAAAGAAAGACGCCAAAGCTTTTCATTCTTTAGGAAGTTGTGAAAACTGTAAACCAGACTCATCTTTTTAAAATGAGTCTTGGTGTTGGACAGTTGGTTCAGCATTTACTCCTGCTGCTCCTGGAGAGGACCCAGGTTCAGTTCCCAGGACCCACGTTGGGCAGCTCACAGCCACCTGTAACTAACTCCAGCTCCTGAGGATCCGACATCATCCTCTAGCCTCCAAGAGTACACACACACACACACACACACACACACACACACACACACACACACACACACACTGCACACAGATAAGTCTTAAAAGATAAAACAAATCTTTCACAAAGCATAGAGATATGCACGCTTGCAATCCCAGCACTTGAGAGGCTAAGGCAGGAAGATCAGTAGTTCAAGGCCAGCTAAGGCTCCTTAAATGATTACAAATGTGAACACATTCTCTGCTTAGCCAGTAACTCTGCCACAGTTACTGCATTAGCCACAGTCATTGCATTAGCCCAGGGCTGCCTGCCTCACAAGGGCGATGTGCCCTGCACTGTCTCTCTCTACGCTGGGGCTGAGCCCGGGCAGGGAGAAAGGCCTCCTTGACGGTCATGTGCCTTGTCTCTGCAAGCGTTGATGAGGAAAACGCTGGACTTCCACTTCTCTCCTTCGTTTCCTCATTTCTTGGTCATTATCAAAATTTAAGTTGTTCGCTCCCTCAAGAATCATATAGATTTTTTTTTAAAGCCTGATGACTTGTTGAAAAGGAAAGGTAAGGTACTTAAAGAGACTGTATAGAGCTCCAGCCAGGTCCTCCAGCTCCCAGGGAGGCTGGGCCAGTGTTCCTTGTGGCAGGGCTCCTCCAGTCCTGTGTCTACATGAGGTCAGTTTCCCACTGACCTTGACCTTCAACAAGCCCACACACACACACACACACACACACACACTTCAAAACAAAACCAAAAAAAAA